AAGGATATCATGTTTGGTAAGGTGGAGGGTCAGAGAAAAAGAGAAAGACCCCCAGCAAGATGGATTGGCAAAGTGGCAGCATCAATGGGCTCAAGTGTGCCAACAATTGGGAGGTTGGCCCAGGATCGGGCACTGTTTCGTTCTGTTGTACTTAGGGCCATTATGAGTGGGTACCAACTCGATGGCACCTATGAACAACAACAACTTCAACAGTATTTAACAACAACTACAATTACTTCTTCTTCTCAAGGTGCCTTTACCTCTGGATTTTAAGAGGTGATATCACTAAAACACCAAGGCAGGTGTTTGGGCTAGCAAAAGTCCAATCATTTTTAGAAAATGCCCACATGGTGACACATAGACACACAAAGCCAGAATCATTCCAAACATAACTCAAGATCTCTAACTGCAGTCTGTCACAGTCCAGCTCCTCACAAATACACATAAACAACTCAACTCTGCATAGTTAGGGTCCCATCTGCCACCGTGCATGGAGATACAGCTTTAGGTTTCGATTTCTACTTCTGTTTCTGCATAAAGTCACCAGAGTTGGTGGCAGTCACAGAGAACTGATACCAGTGAGAAGTAAGCTTTTACAACTATTTAAAAATTATTTATATGTTCCTGGACATTTGCTTCCACTGTCACGTTTGCTGGGTCTCTATCTCCCCAGAAGATTAAACACCTCCAGATGTGTGCTTCTTACTGGCAGGTGTTTAATTACTCCAAGTAAATTCACAAACTTTCAATATGGCTGAAGATTTCTGGGACTGGGCTCCCATCTCTGAGTGATAAAGAAACCATTTTTTTCATGTTTGTTTCAGACTGAAGTAGTTCAGTGAAACTCTGGTGTGAGTAATGTAGCACAAAGACTGGTCTGTTACTATGACATCAGGGACTGGTGTGTTCTAGTTAATAAAACACTCATAATAAATTATAAATTCATCCCAGAGACTATACACCAAACATCCTTTTTGTGCTATAAATTACAGAGAAGATGGTATAAAAGTTAAGATGCAGTCATTTTTGTGAGGAAATGAAAAATGTAACAAGCACACACACCCACCCATCAACAATATGTTGTTGTTAAGTACTGTCAAGTCGGTTCCGACCCATAGCAACCCTGTATAGGGCTTCCGAGGCTGTAAATCTTTACAGGAGCAGAACGCCTCATCTTTCTCTCACAGAACCGTCAGAAGTCTTGAACTGCTGACCTTGAGGTTAGCAGCCCAACTTATAACCACTATGCTACCAGAGCTCCTTTCAACAATATGTGTTTAAATTACTGATACAGGCAACAGGTTTGGTTAGACAACAAAGAAGAGAAAGGCCAAAGGGGATCCCAGTTCATGGATCAAAAAGAAGGTTCAGAGGAGTCATTGCAGGAATCAGAAGCCGCTTCACAGTTGAAGTTAGACTTTGGAGGATGGGAAGGTTTGGAATAGTTGGGAGCAGTAAACAGAGAGGTCGGGGTGAAGCACAGGTGTTCTGGTCAGAGCAGAGGCAGAGGCTGGGCTGAGCACAGCATGTGTGTGGCATGGTTACATTGCAGGCTTCTTGGGAAGGTAGAGAGGGACCAGGGCATGACAGCTTCTTAAACTAGTAAAGTATGACTGAGATGTCCCAGAGTGTGGGGGATGTGAGCCAGATGGAGGGATGACTCCCTGGGGGGCCACTTCAGAAGCTGTATGTGTGTGTGTGTGGGGCGGGGGAGGATTCTGAAGGGTTAAAGTGTGTCACACTGTTGATCTAGTGGCAGCCCAGCTACCTCCTGGCCATTTACCTGGGTTCTGTCAGGCCTAAAGTGGAAGTGTGTTCTCTGACCTGGAAATCTGAGCTTTGGGTGAGGACTTGATCCTGACAGCTGAGGGGGCCAAAGAGACCTTTGAGGGACCGACAGGTGACACCTCGGCTGGAGCCAGGCCAGGCAGTAGGAGCCCAGGAAGATGCTTACAGAAGTAATACTTGCTTCCAAGGTGCCAACGCAGATCCCTCCTCTGATTAGGACTGCTATGGGAGGTGGGTGGGAAAAGAAGTCAAGGAGGGAAAGGGAACTTAGACTCTTTTTTTGGCTGCTTGTTTAATCTCAATTTGTGTTGTTGTCGTTCACTGTTGATTAAAGTCTTTGGGAAATTCTGACCTCATGTTTAGGCTGGGGGCACCAGTGAGGGATTGTCCCTACCAGGGCAGAGCTTTAATTGGTGGAGGGGAAGAGGACTCTAGTACTGCTGGGAATCTTAGCAACAAAAACAGGGAGAAATCTGGGAAGGAAAATGGCTCAGGTCCCTAAACAGGTTTGCAGTCACAGTATTTGTTTGCCTTTTTGCTTATAATTCAGAAACCTGGGAAAACACACAGCACAAGATTACAAGATTATATCTGTTGATTAGCGGTACTCTATTGAGGGGGGAAGTCTTACCCTAGTCATTAAAGGCTTTGCCTGAGCTATTTGGGGGAGAGGGGAAGGTATCTTGCATGCTAAGCACACTTTATTCCCTTCTCACGCTAGTGAATGCTTTTTAATTCAAGGGCTATTTAAGCAAACTCAATTTCCTCTTATTAAAAATAAATATGCAGTGAAAAATCTTTCCTTTATTTATTTACAGCAGAAAGTTCAAATCAGATTAAGATCTCCCAGAAACCAGGTGACCAGGAGGCAGGATTGAGGAGAGCCCTTGACTGCCCTTGGAAGAGGCAATCAGATATTTCTCTCTCTCTCTCAACTATTAAGGAAGCATGCCATAAAACAGCATTGCAATGCAGCCAAAAATCTGACTTCTGTACTACGAAGAAGCATAAAAGCAAGCCATGCTGAAAAGCAATGAAGCTCTTGCCAGCTTTCCAGGCCTCCATGGTGTCCCAGTGACTCCAAGTCTGCCCTCTTGCCATACTGAGTTTTCTCCTCAGCTTTGAAGGAGGGTCTCCCCAGAGCCTGTAGGTACAGGCTTCAATTTTTACATAGCTCACAAAGCCCCCTCTGGCTTCCTTTCCACTCTATCCTTGCCCTGGCCACCTACACCATATTCACTCCCAGTTCTAGGCCTCAGCTCATGCTGCTTCTTGGTGGTGGGTTATAAGACTTGGAGTTGGTTGGTTCTGACTCACAGCGATTCTGTATAGGGTTTCCGAGGCTGTGAATCTTTACAGGAGCAGAAAGCCTCATCGTTTTCCCTCAGAGTGGCTGGTAGATTGAGCTGCTGACCTTGAGGTTAGCAGCATAGCTCATAATCCACCATACTAGCAGAGCTGCTTCCTAGACCTGGAAAAACAAAATCCCTTCTCCCTTTCTTTTGGTTTGCCACAGACATCACCTTCTTCATACCTCCCCCCGCCCCACCCCAGCTCTGCCACCCAAGACCTGGGTCAGGTGCTCTGAGCCCCCCATCTTTACAACACTGGACTCTCGTCACATTCTTCTTCTCTGTGTCACCATTAGACTCTGAGTTTCTTGAAGATTGGGGCCACACGGTCACTACTGATAGCATTGGGGTATAGCACTCAGCCCACACACAGCAGACCCTCAATCAATGGAATCAGCAAAGAAAGATCCATGAGGGGTGGGCTGCAACGGAGGAATGTCCATGGTGCTCAGTCTGCAGACACTGATGGCTCTAATGCCTGAAACCAAGGGGAGGCTACAGAGGCCAGGAAGCAAATCAGGTCCACCAGCTCTCCACACACAACAAACTGGACAGGTTTCATCCCACCGGAAAGGCCACATGTGGGAAAAGGCAGTCAGGGACAGAACTAGCCATGTTAGGCATTTCTTCTGGGTTTTCACACCAGGTTTCCTAGCTGACACTCCTGAAAACCCCCCCAAAGCAAGGTCATTCATTGGTTTCACCACCCCAAAATGCCTTGTGCATTCTTCCTTGATTCCTTTTCCCAAGGACCACATTCTCTTGCCTGTCCACCCCTGGCAATTCTGCACCCCAAAGGTCAAAGGATTCTGACTCCTGTGTCCCACCCCAAAACTTGGTTTGAGGCAATAATCTCCTATGATTTACTACCCAATTCCATCACCTTGACAAGCCCCCACTTCCTAGTCCCCACCCCCAAGGCCAGTGCTCTGTGACTCTCCCCTGAGGACCCCTGCCTTGTACATCACCTCCAAAATCCAGTGTAGTGTTTATCATCTAAAGGCCCAATGTCGTGGCCCCCCTCTCTTAGAAGGTCCCCATCTTGTACAATGTCCCAAAGGTTCCTGTGCCCTGTGATGTATACCCACATCTCAAGGGTACCTCATTTGCTAGACCCCCAGGGCTGGCCCCATCCCAAGGACCCCTTGCCCTTTCAGGTTCTCCTGGGCTCCCAAGGCAGCCAGCGCCAACCTTTCCAGGCCTCTGCGGCTTCCAATAATCTGCTTGTTGGTATTCTCATACGGTAGTCCTTCTTTAGAGACTTCATGGTGCCGCCAGGGCTGTAAACTAGGCCCTTCGCCGCCGGGAACCGAGGCTAGTTAGCAGGGCGGCAGCACCCCTCGCCCCTGCCACCCCGCGCGCACTCCCGCCCACCAGCGGCCACCGCGGTGTCCATAGCAACCGGTGCCTCGCGCTGTGGCGTGCACCCACCGAACAGTTTGGGCGGAGACTGCTTGGACGCCACCTTCTTCATCATCTGGCCGCGCCCACGCCGCAGACCGCTCCTCCTTCCAACAGGTTCGAAGGAGCGCCCTGGGGTCCGGGCTGTGACGTCATAGATAGCGCCGGCGAGCGTCGTGGCGTCACCAGTAGGGTGGGGTAAGGCCAGGTGATTCCACTAGTCGAGTGAGACACCTAGGGGATTAGGAGATCTAGTCCCTCTGCCCGCCACACTTCATGCTGAAACCCCTAAATGGCCTCTTGGGGATTTTAGGTGCCCACTGACCCCTGTTTGCACCCCACCCGCGCCTAGTGGCTCCACAGCAGCCACTTCCCAAACAAGTCAATCTTTTACACTGACTAAGAAGGGACTTTCTCATCCTACCGGTCTCAGTCTTTGGTGTTGTTGCCCTTCACTCCCTCTCCTCTAAATCCAAATAGCCTTCTTCGGTATTCTCAGAATTGTTTACATGGTTGCCTGTTGTTAGTCTCACTGTCAGAATGTAAGCAGGGATGTCTTTTCCTGATCTCTCCTCAACCCAAAGTTGAGCACATAATGGTCATTCAGGAATTGTGTGTCAAATAATGAAGGGACTCTAACACCAGACAAAACCTGGTCCCAATCCCAGATCTGTCTGCTTGCTAGCAGATAATAATATGAAAAGCTGGGTTATATGAAGAAAAGCATGGCACCAAGATTGGAGGAAGACTCATTAACAACCTGCAATATCCGGATGATACAGCCTTGCTTGCTGAAAATGAAGAGGAATTAAAATATTTACTGATGAAGATCAAAGATCACAGCCTTCAGTATGGATTGCATCTCAATGTAAAGAAAACAAAAATCCTCACCACTGGACCAATAAACAACATTCTTATCAACGGAGAAAAGATTGAAGTTGTCAAGGACTTCATTCTTGGATTAACCATCAACATTCATGGAAGTAGCAGTCAAGAAATCAAATGATGTATTGCATTAGGCAAATCTGTTGCACAAGACCTTTTTTAATGTGTTGAAGGGCAAGATGTCAGTTTGAGGATTAAGGTGTGCCTGACCCAAGCCATGGTATTTTCAATAACCTCATATGCATGCTAAAGCTGGACAGTGAATAAGGAAGACCATAGAATTGATGCTTTTGAGTTATGGTGTTGGAGGAAAATATTGAAAGTGCCATGGGCTGCCAAAAGAACCAAGAGATCTGTGTTGGAAGAAGTGCAACCAGAGTGCTCCTTGGAGACCAGGATGGCCAAACTTCGTCTCTCATACTTCGGACATATTGTCAGGAGGGACCAGTCGCTGGGGAAGGATACCATGTTTGGTAAGGTGGAGGGTCAGAGAAAAAGAGATAGACTCCCAGTGAGATGGATTGGCAAAGTGGCAGCATCAATGGGCTCAAGTGTGGCAACAGTAGTGAAGTTGACCCAGGACCTGGCAGTGTTTCATTCTGTTATGCATAGGTTTGCTATGAGTCGGTGCCAACTCAATAGCACCTAACAACAACAACAAATGGTCGAGTCGGTTCCGGTCCATAATAACCCTGTATAGGGTTTCCGAGGAGCAAGCTGGTGAGCTTGAATGGCTGACCTTGCAGTCTAGTGCATTAACTCACAATGCCCCAAAAAGATGTATTTAAACTACCTGTTTTTGTTATTTAGTCATTTGAACTGCAAGGTCAGCAGTTCAAGCTCACCAGCTGCTCCTCGGAAACCCTATGAAGGTCAGAACCCACGTGATAGCACTTAACATAACAATAACAAAGGCCACAAGTAGATGGCTTTAACAAACAAATTCATTTTCTCACAGTTTTAAGAGGTTAGAAGTCTGAATTCAGAGTGTATGCTTGGAGAGAAGGCTTTATCTGTCTATTCACCCTCTTCTTCCTAGTTCATTAGAAATCTCTTATGTGCCTTGACATGTATTTTATCCCACTTTTGCTCTGTTTAATCTCATATCTCAAAAGAGATTTACTCAAGATATATGCTACACAATATTGTTTCGTTCACATAACAAAAACAATTATTCCCAAATGGGATTATAATCACAGGCATGCATGTTGTTGTTGTTATGTGCCATTGAGTTGGTTACGACTCATAGGGACATTATGCACAACAGAACAAAACGCTGCCTGGCTGGCCATCCTCACAATTGTTGCTCTGATTGAGCCCATTGCTGCTGACACTGTGCCAGTCTGTCTCATTTCATTGGGGATCGTCCTCTTTTCGCTGCCCCTTCAATTTACCAAGCATGATGTCCTTATCCAGGGACTGGTCCCTCCTGATACTATGTCCTAAGTATGAAAGACATCCTGACTTCTAAGGAGTACTCTGGCTGTACTTCTTCCAATACTTCTTGGAATACTTCCAATACAATACTTCTTCCATGGTACTTTTAATATTCTTCTCCAACACTATGGTGCATCAATTCTTCTATCATCTTCCTTATTTGTTGTCCCACACAGGCGTAGAGGCCAGCATTTGAAATACATATTTTTAGGAGACACAAATTCAGTCCACAACACCACCAAAAACTGTGCCCATCATAAACAAGTGTCTTCTCAATCAATTCTGAGGTGATAGGATATACTTTGTACGCATTGTATGATACAGAAACATCTCCAGAGAAAAGAAGGGTATGAAGTCATCTGACTAGCAAGAATCACCATTTGAATTCCATTCAACCAAGTTCCAAGGCCCGAGATCTTTGAACCCTGTCTCCCGAGCCATATCTGAGCAATGGAGCTATCAATCCCAGGCCAGGGAGGAGCTAGGAAGGACACCAGCAGAGCTAGCCAATTCCTGGGCTCCCCATAGATCCCCCACTTCTGCGGCCCTCCTCAGGAACATGGTCACTTGCCCATGCTCTTCTAGATCTACACTCTCTTTAATACTAAGTAAGAGCAGCCTCTTTTGTACTCCTAGCCTCTACCCTTTAGTTGAGTTCACTCCATGAGCACTGACTGAGCACTTATGATACTCCAACCTAGGTGCTGTGCATTGAGGTCTGCCATGAAGCAGACACTGAGGTGATGATAGTGTAAAAGGCTTATTGAGGGGAGGGAGCAAGTGGAAATGCATATGAATGATGGAGGGGAAGGAAGCATGACTAGGCTGATCTGACAAAGCTTGACTAACTCAATGGGAACCACTGGGCAAAGACTGTTTGGACAGAAATAGCCAGACCATATTAATCATATGAAGTCCTGGCATGACACTGTAGGATAATCATTGAACCACAGGTCAGTTTGAACTACAAGGTCAGCAGTTCAAATTCACCAGCCACTCCATAGAAACCCTATACAGGGTCGCTATGAGTCAGAACCAACTTGATGGCACTTAACAACAACAGTAACCAGGTAGATTGCAGAAATTATCGAATATCATTAATATCACATGCAAATGACGTTTTCCTGAAGATAATTCAGAAACAGTTGCAGGGAGCTGCCAAAAATTCAAACTAGATTCAGAAGAGGACATGGAATTAAGAATATCATTGCTGATGTCAGATGGCTCTTGGCTGAAAACAGAGAATACCAGAAAGATGTTTTGTTATTGCTGTCAAGTGCCATCGAGTTGGTTCTGACTCATAGCAACCTTTTATCCAAGGAGCAATTGGTACATTTGAATCACAAACCTAGTGGTTCAAACCGACTTTGCGGGCCAGTGCTTATCCTATAGTGCCATACCAGGACTCCAGAAAGATGTTTACTTGTGTTTTATGGACTATGTAAAGTCACTAGACTGTGTGGCTCAAGCAAACTGTGGATCACATTGTGAAGAATGGGAATTCCTGAACACTTTACTGTGCTCATGTGGAACCTGTGCAGAGACCAAGAGGCAGTGGTTTGAACAGAACAAGGGGCTATCAAGTGGTTTAAAGTCAAAAATAGTGTGCACCAGCGTTGTATCCTTTCACCATACTTAATCGGTGTCTATGCTGAGCATATAATCCAAGAAGAAGAACATGTCATTAGAAACCTATAATATGCAGATGAAACAACCTTGCTTGCTGAAAACCAGAGGACTTGAAGTATTTGCTAATGAAGATCAAAGACTACAGCCTTCAGTATGAATTACAACTCAATATAAAGAAAATAAAGATCCTTACAAATAGACCAAGAACAGCATCATGATAGAGAAAAAGTTGAAATTGTCAAGGGCTTCATTTTACTTGTGTATCTACAGTTAATACCCATGGAAGCAGCAGTCAAGAAATCAATGTATTGCATTAGGCAAATCTGCTATAAAAAAAACCTCTTTAAAATGTTGAGGAGTAAAAGATGTCGCTTTGAGGACTACGGTGCACCTGACCCAAGCCAGTATTTTCAATGGTCTCATATGCATGTAAAAGCTGGACAATGAATAAGAAAAGACCAGAGAAGAATTGGTACATTTGAATTATGGTGTTGGTGAAGAATGTTGAAAATAACATGGATTGCCAGAAGCAAAAAATGATGAGACTTCTTCTCATGTTATCAGGAGGGGCCTGGAAAAGAACAGCATGCTTGATACAGAGGTGGATCCTGGTGGTAGGGTCTGGCAAAGAATATTAAAAGTACCATGAACTGCCAAAAGAACAAACAAATCGGGTGGAAGAAGTAAAGCCAGAATGCTCCTTAGAAGCCAAGATGCTGAGACTTTGTTTCTGTACTTTGGGCATGTTATTAGGAGGAACCAGTTCCTAAAGAAGAATATCATACTTGGTATAGTAAAGGGTCAGTGGGAAAACAGGAAGACGCCCAACCAGATGGACTGACACAGTGTCTACAACAATGACCTCAAACATAACAACACTTGTGAGGATGAAGCCGGACCAGGCAGTGCTTACTTCTGTTG